GGCCACTTCAAAGGGCCCTTCGGCATGAAGGATTTTTCAAGAAACAGTTGTTTGGTCCCCTACGCCCTTCAAACCTTCGAAGCTCTCGCTCTGAAGGGTAAACCCTTTGAAGGGATTAGGGCATAGGGATGAGCCCTTCCGAATGGAACGCAGGGACGGTGTTACTCACCTATCGAGAAGAAACAAAGCAACCTCAGCGTCCGATCGCAGGCCTTCCTCTCCTTGAGTTCACTCCAGTGCTGGAAAGCTGATCCAATATTTACACGGGTCCTACTTCTTGCCTTATCGTAAGCCTTCTTTAGTTCCGCAGACGTTTTCCTCTTTTGATTTTTTATCCGCCATCTCTATCTTTCTGTCACTTGGCTCGGCTAATGTCCGTCCTGTGCACTGAGTGCTCACTCCTCCGCATCATGAGTAGACACTCCCCTTACTGCTGATTGGCTACAAGTTTGTTTTGGTACTTGGCCCGACTTTTTGAAAAAATACATACCCCACCCTTAAAGGGATAGTTTACCCAAAATGTAAATCTTGTCATCATTTACTCACCCTCATGTTGTTACAAACCTGTATGAATTTCTTTCTTCTTTTGAACACAAAAGAAGTAACCAAACTGTTGCTGGTAGCTATTGACTTTCAAAGTATGAAAAAAAAAAACTATGGAAGTCAAAAAACTTCTTCTTTGGAACTACATGACAGAATTTTACTTTTTTTTTTAACTCTCCCTTTAACAGCAAAATATTAATTTCTTCCCCTGAACCTTGGAGCTCCATTAAAAGTGATATCTGGACCATAGTCTTTAAATAAGGATTAAATGTCACTTTCAAATGTTAAAGCCTAGGTGCATTAGACATAAATCATAAACGTACCACTGAGCCCACACTGAACATCATTCTGTCTTTGTCATTCACTCTCAGATGCTCCTTTGGACAAGTTTGTCAATGAATCTGGTGGTCGAGAGAGAACAACTCTTGAAGACAAAAGGAAAGCTTTCTTTAATCTCCGTAGTTTTGGCAATGGAGAGCAAGGTAAACGTCTGATACCTTCACCATCTCTTTTGCGGATGTTATCACTAGAAGTTTGAGTTCTTGTATAATCAACTGATATTTAAGATGATTAAACTGTCTTTCGTCAGAGTGTGGAGTGCGCCCCATGTTTGAGAAGGTCAACAAAGAAGATAAGAACGAGAAGGAGCTACTGATGTCATACACTGGAAGCAGAATAGTGGGAGGAGATGAGGCTGAAGTGGCCAGTGCTCCATGGTAAATACAGCGCAGGGGCTGTTTTTAAACATCTGTTTTCAAATATCTTGGCATGATTGATCACGTCAAATGCTAATGCTTTGTTTTTAATGTTGTGTTTGATGTTATTTGCAGGCAGGTGATGCTGTATAAGCGTAGTCCTCAGGAGCTGCTGTGTGGAGCCAGTCTGATCAGTGATGAATGGATTCTCACTGCCGCCCACTGCATTCTCTACCCACCGTGGAACAAGAACTTCACAATCAATCATATTATCGTCCGCCTTGGAAAACACTCTCGTATCAAGTGAGCCCTTTAAAAAATTCTAGAAAACTGCATATATTTCTTTTCACTAGACTTTTCACTAATACATTCTTTATGTATGCTAAGTAATTTAGAAATATCAGTTTACATCTGTTTTAAAACCTTTCCTGTTACTCTCAGGTATTAGAGGGGCACTGAGAAGATTGTGGCCATTGATGAAATCATTGTCCACCCGAAATATACAGTGGGGAAAAAAAGTATTTAGTCAGCCACCAATTGTGCAAGTTCTCCCACTTAAAAAGATGAGAGAGGCCTGTAATTTTCATCATAGGTATACCTCAACTATGAGAGACAAAATGAGAAAAAAAAATCCAGAAAATCACATTGTAGGATTTTTAAAGAATTTATTTGCAAATTATGGTGGAAAATAAGTATTTGTGGAAGGAAAACCTGAACCGAGACATTGCTCTTTTACACATGAAGAAGCCTGTTGTCTTTACGAATGAGATCCACCCTGTTTGTCTGCCCACCAAGAACATTGCAAAGAAGTAAGTAAATACAATAGTTCAATATAGATATATTTAATCACAATGAGATGGATGTAGTGTCAGATATTTTCTGTGTGAACATTATTGGAAAAGAAAATCATGTAGGACAGGGACTTGTTTCTATTCATCAGTTGTTAATTGAATGGAGTTATATCTGAATGTGAGTTTGCAGTCAACTCTAAGAAACGGGTGGAGTTTCAGCAGACTAAATGATTCGAGAAGTCAGATGAATCATGGATGAATCATTCACAATAAGATTAATTACATGCATTTAGAAAATAGATTTTCATTTCATGCCGATTTCGAAACGTACCTAACCTCTTGAAGGGGTCATTTTATACAATTGTTTACCTTTATTTATGGTGAAACTTATTAAGAACACATTTTCTTGGGGAACAATGATGTATGGAAAATGCATTTTAGCATAACTTTAGAACAAACTGACAGTATACATATAGCTGTAATTGACAGATTTTCTCTCTGAAGTTTGATGTTTGCAGGTTACAAGGGCCGTGTGACTGGCTGGGGAAACCTCAGGGAATCGTGGTCCTCAAACCCAACCAATCTTCCATCAGTGCTGCAACAGATTCACTTGCCCATTGTGGATCAGAGCATCTGTCGCAATTCCACCTCGATCATCATCACCGATAACATGTTCTGTGCTGGTAATATACTTCATATTTTCATGGTCTTTAGACCCTAGACTATTCAGTTGCTGAGAGCTTGTGTGAGATGCTTTTGCACTCAGGTGTCACAACAAGGTCATCTTTTGTTTTGTAGGCTACCAGCCAGATGATACAAAAAGAGGTGATGCTTGTGAAGGAGACAGTGGCGGACCTTTTGTGATGAAGGTATAATAATGTTTATGCTTTTCTCTCCTCAAACAAGTTTGACTTTTCAGTGACCTATAAAGCTCTGATTGTTGTATTCACACTACTATATTTAAATATCTCAACCCTCTACGGACACCTTGGCAACTGAATCGCCATTGGTTAGTAAATTTTTGTGTTTACTCGCCAGACTGAAATACTATACTTTATATATAGATAACCATGAACTTAGGACTGGTGCTGGTGCTTTTTTTGGTCATTCAGTGTTCCTGTAAAAAATTGAAGAAAAAAAAAACTAACAATTATACTGATAAGATATTATTATTATTATTATTATACGAATTCTACTAATAAGAACAATATAAAGCGCACCAAGGATTAACGAGCTTCTGGATTCATGAATATTAATCCGGTTGTGTGCGTTCGCTCGAACTGATTTGCTGAAATCTAAACAGGGACGATAATAGGTGAGCACCAGCCCATGAGATTGTCGTTTGCGCATTAGTTCCTCCCACTACAGGAAAACCCGGCATTTCTTAAAAGCTGAAGAATTCCGAAGGAACTCCGTTATTTTGACAGGAAAATAAAACTAAGAATATCGTTTACATGTATCACATCAATTTTGCATGTTATGTAAGACTCTCGCTCTCTCTCACTTTGCACGTGTGAGAGAAAGCATCAGCGAGTCGTGCGCCTTCACACTAGAGTTTACGTTACGCCAAATACACAAACACAGGTGCGCTGCGCATCCATTCAGATGAACTGAAAAATATCACAGATCGCTCGCTTGATGGAGAGTAAAACTCTGAAGCGCTCAGTCAGAGTGTTTGGCGAGTGAAAATATATCTGTGCTAAACTTATACTCAGCCTCCAACTCACACACTGGCGAGTAAAATCTGAGAATTTATTAGCCAGTGGCTAATATTAAACATCATGTAGTCGCCCAGAGTGAAGATTTAGTCGCATATGCGAGTGATTTACTCGCAATGTAGAGGGTTGTATCTTGTTCTTTTAAAACCCATTACTGCCCACAGAGTCCTACAGATAAACGCTGGTATCAGATTGGCATTGTGTCGTGGGGTGAGGGCTGTGACCGCGATGGCAAATATGGATTCTACACACACTTATTCCGTATGCGTCGCTGGATGAAGAAAGTCATTGACAAAACAGGCTCAGCAGATGAAGAGTGATCTTCCAAGCTGCCACACAATAAATGAACACTTTGGTAAAATGTGATCAAACCTGCAAATGGATAAATAAACCTGAATTCTTTGTTTGTTGATACCAGTGTGTGAGTATGGAGTTTCTTTCTGTGTATTGAGAGTGAGAATGGGCAGGCTTCTTGTTTAGAATGAAACGGATGTAATTCTGGTTGAATTCTGAAATTAAATATCAGGTTTTTGCCATACAGAACTAGAGAAGGAACAGTGACGAGACCAGTTTACCAGTTTCGAGGGTGATTACAGCACACCAGACAACACCAAATTTGCTCTTACTTTTTTTCATAGTTGTCAGAACTACTGTATTTTTTTGTGGAGATGCTTTGAAAGCAGAAACGTTTTCAGGACAATTTAAAGGTCATAAAGTTTCCTATTATTCAATTCACATAAATGGGAAGGCAGACAGAATAAATGATTATTAAGATTAGTTTAATAATTTTTTTTCATCTTCCAAGAGAATTTGTGAAGCCGTGCAATGATCACTAAATTCTCTCATCAATGAATTTCTGTAGGCTGTTTCACATCAAAATGTCTTGCAATAAGACAAATATAAAGCAGTTTCGGTGCAACCGCCTCATTTGAACAGACTTAATATAATACCCACAAATCAAACTCATTTAAACTAAAGGTTATAATGTAATTGTAATTCAATAGTGGTGTTGCTCAGATTCAGTGGTTCCTAAATGAAGGGGTGTTGACACAGAGGGAGACTTCTGACATTTATGGCTCTTGACTGAACACACAAAGAGCAGAACACGCAAATGTGTACGTTTTAGATCATTTATTTTTATGTGGTGCATTTTATATGTTGTTCAACCAAACGTTATGATAACAGCATATTTTCGGGGCGTGGTCATACGTTCTCCTGCATCCGGGATGTTTACACCGAACTACACGGATCGCAAACCGGAAGTGCTGCGTGAAATTTGCAAGATTCCAAGTTGTCAAGACTTCAATAGGGAGCGCTGAAAATTAGGTAAATTAATTTCTCCATATTTGATTCATAACATATGTAGTTTCTTTCTTTGCTCAGCATTTTGCTCTCTGATCCGCATAAGCCTCTATTCATACGGCAGGGCAACACTTGCTAGAATTTCCGTTCTGTTAAGTCAAGATAAAACAGGTTTGCAGCTAGTTAGCTTAGCTGACTGTCGACTGATCATAACGAGCAAATATTTGCGGCATCTGGATTTTTGCTTTAACGCCATCACTGAGACCTACACTATTGCGTCTTATTTAAATCACATGCCTGCATGTTGACTCTGTTTTTGCTGGGTTAACGCGCGGTTGCGTGCCCAGATGTTGTGTTTCCCTAGAAACGCTGGGGAATCCGTCACTACCTGTCCTGAGCAGGAGACTAGACGTGTAAGTACATAAGAAAATGAAAAAGAGAGTAAACGTTTGCCATTTTACTAAAATGCTCTAAAAGCGATTATGCTGTCTGACAGAAGATTACTGACCTGCCACAGATAAATCGCACATAGACTACCATATGTATGGGCAGGAATCAAACTCTGAACACTGATCCCAATGTCGATTGTTTTTCCTGTAGTATTGTTTATGAAATAAGTATAGCAAAATCTTGGCTGTACCATGGTTGTTTAAAGTAAGTGGAGTTACTCGTACCAGTTTAACAAAAATTGGGTTTTGGCATAGGCGGAGGGTGAACCAACTCCAGTGTAAGGCTAAAAGCAGCCAAATGTATTAAAGGGGTCATATGATGCTGCTAAAAAGAACATGATTTTGTGTATTTGGTGTAATGAAATGTGTTTATGCGGTTTAAAGTTAAAAAAACACATTATTTTCCACATACTGTACATTATTGTTTCTCCTCTATGCCCCGCCTTTTTGAAACGCGTCGATTTAGTTATTCACACAGCAAATAAATTATATAGCTAGTGACATTATCACTAACATTGATCTATCGCGAGTTTAATTAAGCACTCTAAAAAAAAAAAAAAAACTATGGTTATAATCACTGAAGCTGTATACACTGTGAAATGAATCTCTTACATTGTACGTGCATCTGCGCTTTGTTGTTTATGATGAGAGAATTCGCAAGAGTCCGGAATTCAGTCAGCGAATGCGCGCGCACTCAACAAAACTGATGAGTTTGAACGATGACTCATCTGAACGCTTCTGATTGGCCATTGCATTCCTAAGCTCAACAGAATTGTGTGCGATTGGTTAAGATGCGCAACACTGTAAAAACGCCTAAAATGAAATACGGTGCAACATGAGCAGATTTTAATTTAATGCTGCAATCGACACTGCCTATTCATATTCAGTTTGTTGGCAACAGACGTAATAGATTTTATTTATTTGTGCAGGGGCATTTTTGTCCAATTTAGTGCCATTTTGCCCCAAGTCCCCATGGCCAGGGGAATGCTTAGCCTTACACAGGCTCCGCCTATGGGTTTTGGGTTGTTGACATGTACTGCAGTGTAACACGGTATACTTAATCTAAAACCATTCGTTTTTTATTTTTATTGTGCATGCAGTTTTTATGACCTCATATTAATTGAGAGACTTACATAGAATAGATAAAGCATTTGTTTCACTGCAGGGCCATGTAGAATGATCCTTCATATCCATCCTACCCTCACAATTTATTAAGTACCTTAATCAATTTCTACAAATTACCTAATCGCAAATTACCTTATCACAGTTAGTCTACCAGTTTGCTAATGTGCTCATCAGAGGCGTGCAGAGATCATTTGTTATGATTTTCTCTCCGTTGAATCCATGTGTGGATGGCAACACTGCAGAGAGATGAGCAGAATCACATGACACCATTGAGCTCTAGACCACCACACACTCAGTTTTACTTGCATCTGCTTCATTCTACAGATGATTCTATGGCATCTCACTGTGTTTGTCAGCTGAGCACATCTGAACCATCTGGCTCTACTTGAAACAGAACTTATAATTATCACATTTGCATTTTTTTAGCAGACGTTTAGTAACTTTTGAATGAGGGATGTTACAGCTGGTATGAGCGATGTCTGGCACTCAGAATTACTGACCAGCCACAGATAAACTACCATGTGTATGGAGCGAAATCAAGCTATGAGCACAGATCAATATTTTTTCCTGTAGTATTGTTCATAAGATTGTAAATGATAGTGAAATATTGATTGTACCTTGTTTGTTAATAATTATAAACTCATTAGTACATGAGAAAAGCACAAGCGATTTTATTAAGGCGATTATTGCTTTTTATTGTGGTCTTTATAGTTTAGAAAGTGTATAGTTTATTTTGGAGGTGTTGGGGTTTCTTTAGGTCTCTTGGTTTTAAGCTCTCTTTAGGGTCTTTGTTTCTGTCTGAAGTGCTGGTTGATTCACTGAGCGCAGCCTTGAAACACAACCGTGAATGAGGCGCATTGTTTTTGCTGATGATCTTTTGAACTGAATTAAATGGCACTGTAGAGTGGAAGAGGAATGATTTTGGACGGGTAATGTTTGGTTAGAACCAAAAGATGTGTCATCAAGTATTGACATCAATGATAGTCCAACTAGCAATCTAAGAATGATGAAAGCTTCTTTATATCATTTCTTCGACTGTAAGCAATCTATACCAAGACTGCTCTCAGCAACAAGGCTAGATAACAGAGATGTTTTTAATCCGAGCGACAGATTAATGACCCGGGTTACGTCACCTGAAGACTGTTATCACATTAATTAGAGATATGGACGTGGATGTCATAGCAGAATAAAGGCTGTCACAGATGTTAGTAAATGTGAAACTGGCTCTTCTAGGGTTGAGGATATAAATGAGAGCAAAGGGTAAAACCGAGAATTCTTGTCAGTATACGGCTGGACGGCCACATTGCCGCGTGGCACCAAAGCGAGGGACTGTCACAGCAGATCACTGTCTGAGCCCTACTGACGCCTGCACTAGTAGCCCTGTGGCTACACACGCACAGATTAAAAAATATGGCACATTCACAATGCCACAATATTTTAATACTAAAAGGTTAAGTACAGAATGTAGCATAAGAAATAATAACATTATTAAGAATTTAGTTCCACAAAGCTTGACCCTTCTGACACAACATCTAAAAGTTTTTGCTGAGAGGATTGATATGATCATTGTGGTTATCCAGATTTAATGTAGACTTTATTTACATATACGTAATGATTGACACACATACAGTACACAGAGCTCATCACATGACCACGGAAGCCCAAACATTCTGGGTGAACTATCCCTTTAATGCAAGGCTAGTGAGGCTGTGTTTTTGCTGCTTCATTAATCCACTACATGATTTTCTCAATGAAATCTACTGGCAAGCTTTCAAATGAATGCGTTATGTACTGCTTTAAAAATAATAAATGGTAATTAACTGTTGGTGGTAGTTTGTTTACGATGGAGTGCACATGGAAGAGCAGATTATGTGATCTGGAAATTAATCATTTTTAATCATGCTTTTTTTTTTAAATGGACCCAGTTTGCTAATTTAAAACAAATTTAATGCAACAATTTACCTGATCTTTTGAATGTGATAATGTTGCAATGAAGAAATTATTATTATTATTTGTTTGTTTTGAGTCGGCACAAACACAGACACAGGTGCGCCCCCACCCTAATTCTGCAGTTGCTTCCTAGTCTATTAGCTGTGTCATTTATGAATAAAAATTTATCCTGAAAAATACAAATATTATTCATTTATATGCTGGTTTCCCTATAACAAAATAAATAAAAAAATTGTGTACACATATATTTGCATTATTGTAAATTATACAGTATATAAAGTATGAACCGGTATCCAAGCCAGAAAATAAAGCTAATATTAGCCAGTTTCTAGTGATGTGTTATGTCAGTAAATATGTGCTGTATTATGAAAGGAACTTGTGTTAAACAATTCTCATGGGGGGCAGATTCATAGTTAGCAAGATTAAGTTAGGAAACAAACTCGTCATTGTGGTCACTCATGTGAGTCAGTCATTCACTGAACATGCAAGTGTGCACGTGTGAAAATGCTGCATTTACCCAGGCTTATGCTGGACAGACCCAATGCGAAGGCACAGATCTCAGCATAAAATTGTGTGGTATTGTAATGTGCAGTTCTGTGTCTAACTGTTGTGCGTGAATTGTGTTGTCTTAGAGGACCATCATGTCCTCTGACCTGCTGGTGGACCTTCACGATGATCTGGGAGGAGACGACTCTCCTAGCGCTGCCCTGGACCAGCTCAAACTGGTACAGGACAAACAGTGGCCACCAGATGACCCTGTTAGCTTGAGCAAATCCGGTGAGTGCATGGTGGTGGGAATTGTGCATGCTTGTCATACAGGATAATAATAATTTTAAAATCTAGTTTCCTTTTGCAGAATTATACTGGTCTTTTCAAAGAATAAAGCAGTGTAAGAAAAAGGAAGTAATTGCCAAGAACTCTACCATTTTATCCTGAATACCAATCATATGCTTGCTATATTTTTAGAGGCAAGTGAAGCCGAAACGTTACAGTTGACATAACGGCCTATTTAAGAGACAGCAGAGAACTCAAGGAGTCATGCAGCATTACTCATACAGTACATACATATATACATGCTTACGACACAGGCATACACCCAGAGACACACTTTACCACTCTTACAGAGGATGACTATGACTGGGCGGGCGTGGGTGAAGTCCAGTGGAATTGATTCATCATCTGCAGAGTTTGAAATGAACATTTTTTTACTTACTGGACAGTTTGGCTACTAAATTAAGTTACTGGTCATTCCGAATTTCTGCTAGCTGAAACAAAAATATCAGAAATAAACCTGGTGATCAAAATCACTGCCTTAATTTGAAAATATGTAATAATTAAGCCTGATTCTGAATCATTGAATAGCTTTCATGACAGTCACTTTTTTCACTTTTTGAATGGCAGTTTTATGACTGTCAATCATTGTTTGCGAATACCATGAAAATGTATTTGTTAAAAAAAATATTAAATAGGAATAAAAACCATATTCTCTGTGACTTCTCTTATAAAACAGCATTTATTTTGTTGTAATTTCCAAATATATCTCACTCCAAAATGAATGTTTAGTGGTAAATATGTTAAAGATTAGCAGACTGTCAGTTTGTATCACAAAAAGTCAGCAAACTGAATTTATTCCTCCATTGACATGTATAAAAAAAGAAAAATGAGAATGGTTCAAAAAAGTGGCTTCCTCTCCTGAGGGTTCAGTCGCACACTGGACGAGAAGCATGTATCCCACAATGGATGCTCATTCTGCACTCTTGTTTATGGTAAACTTGTTAAGCAGTCCAAACAGTGAACACAATCACTAGTATGCAGGCAAAAGTTCACTTTAAAGGTCCCCTGAAATGCTTAGAAACACACGCAGCGTGTGTTGACGTCATTTTAACTGAAACAGGAAGACAGGGCGGGACATATCAAGCAGCCCGCCCACTTTTTAAAATAGCCAATAGCGTTCGTTTATATCACATCTTAGGCTAGAGCCGTTGAGCTCTGTAAAGCCGCATTTGACAGGGTATGCCAGCCACAATCTCATCCATATTGCTATACTGCGGAAGTGACGAACTGCAAGCTTTGAATGCTTATATCTCCTAAATGCGAATTTTGTCACTGTTTTGGAGCACACTGCCTTATAGATAACCTTAAGACTAACATATTGATACTAACACCCAAAAAACTTTAATTTTGATTTCATGGGGACTTTAAGAATAACAAAGTGGCACCAATGACTTTGAATTCAGTTGAAAGAGAAATGATAATCCATATTATTATATTTCATATGTGCCACCAGTGTATGTACATGGTTCTTTTCCAGTGTGCAGCCCTCTTTATACTTTGTTTTGTTTTGATGTTAAAGGCTTCTGGTTGGAGGACATGATATGTGTTAGCAACCACGGCTGATTTTACCTGCATTTGTTGGGTTGGTGGGTGTTTATTTCAAAACCTGACCATCTGGTTGAGCTAGTGCTGAGAGGGATCTGAGAGGATTACTTTCCTCTATCTATAGCCATATACTCTATAGCTTGTGTTTGGGATATTTACATGTTTTTTAAATTTTTGTTTGAAATGTAGCATTCATTATATTCTTTCCTGCAGCTTCAGATATTAAAAGCCTTGGTGGTACTTCACATCTGCCCTGGGACGACCCCTTCTATGACATTGCCAGACATCAGATTGTGGAGGTGGCAGGTGAGGTGTTATGAAATGCATAAGCATCACCAGCTAGTGTTTATTCTAGTTCTAATGTCTTCTGATTTTTCTCTTTCTTTGTAGGTGATGATAACTTTGGTCGGAAGGTCATTGTTTTTAATGCTTGCCGCATGCCTCCCCAACATCAGCTGGACCATCATAAACTTCTTATGTAGGCATCGCTGCTCTTACTTTATTTATGTGGTTCATTAATAGATATATTAAGCTGGGCTCAATACACTGTATCAGCTGTGTTTTTAATAATTCTGCATTGCCTTTTTCCTGAATATGGGTGGTTTACTTGACCTGGTTTATTATTTGTTGAGACTAACATACGTAGATGAGCACAAGACACTTTAAAGATCAAGGTCAAGTGCAGGGAACAAAAAAAAAACATTGATAACGATCCAAGGAGAGAAGTTGTCCCTAGAGACAAAGAGAAGATCTAAGCAGCGCTTTTGACGTGTCAACTGATGTTTTCTTTATTTGTGCAGTTAATTTGGTTAATAATATATTTAGATTTTAATTGATATGTTGTAAATATATTGATTGCATTCTTACATCCTAATTGTTTTTCAGTTCAATGTTAAAATATACAAGCATATGTCGATTTTAGAATACTGTTTTAATAATTATTGAAAATAATTGTTATTTTACCTTTTTATATAAATGTATGATATGTCACATTATTTGACACTTTCAGAGATTAACTGTCAGTTTTTTCTAGACTTAGTTTAAAATGCCAAAAGGCATATCCAGCGGGTATAATAAGTATTGAACACGTCACCATTTTTCTCAGTAAATATATTTCTAAAGGTGCTGTTGACAGTTATTGTGTTATTGTGTAATAAAGTAGAATGACATAGGGAAAAAGTATTGAACACATGATGAAAGGGAGGTGCAAAAAGGCATGGAAAGCCAAGACACCAGCTGAAATCTATGAGTAATTAGAAAGCAATCTTGCCCCTAGTCAGTGGAAATTAATATTAGCTGGTTTAGTCCCAACTGATGGCCTATAAAAAGATGTCTCATGACCAAAGTGTCAAACAAGAAACATTTCATGATGGGTAAAAGCAAAGAGCTTTCTCAAGACCTTCACAACCTTATTGTTGCAAAACATACTGATGGCATTGGTTACAGAAGGATTTCTATACTTCTGAATGTTTCAGTGAACACTGTTGGGTCCATAATCCGGAAGTGAAAAGAACATCATTTCACCATAAACCGTCCACGACCAGGTGCTCCTCGCAAGATTTCTGACAGAGCAGTGAATAAAATTATCAGAAGAGTTGTCCAAGAGCCAAGGGTCACTTGTGGAGAGCTTCAGAAAGACCTAGAATTAGCATGTACAATTGTTTCAAAGAAAATAATAAGTAATGCACTCAACCGCCGTTGCCTGTATGCACGCTCACCACGCAAGGCTCTATTGCTGAAGAAAAAGCATGTTGAAGCTCGTTTAAAGTTTGCTGCACAACATTTAGACAAGCCTGTGAAATACTGGGAGAATATAGTCTGGTCAGATGAGACAAAATTTGTACTCTTTGGATGCCATAATACACACCATGTTTGGAGGTCAAATGGCACTGCACATCACCC